CTTGGGTGAGCCTCTCTGCTCCCCTCTGGCTCCTCCGGGAGCCATCTGTCAGTTTCAAGCATTCTTTACTGAAGAAAGGTCCCTGTTCTAAAATGCCGATGTGGGGACACACTCCCCTGTGCTCCTGGTCTGCCCCGGCAGTGGGTTCCCTCTCCCCCTCTGGGCTTGGACTGCAGGCCAGAGGTGTTCTGGTGTGGGCGAACTTCCCCGGCTCACCTCTGGCTCCTGAGGGAGCCTTTTGCAGGCAGTCTTTACTGAAGAAATGTCCCTGTTCTAAAATGGTGATGCGAGACACACTCCCTGCGTGTCCAGTCTCAGGCACACTCTTCTGCGCGCCTGGTCTGCCCCGGCTTTGGGTACTCGCTCCCCCTGTGGGCTCAGACTACTGGTCGGCAGGGGCCCAGCGTGGGCTAACTTCCCAGCTGGCCACTGGCTCCTCCAGGAGCCTCTGCTGGTTTCAAGTCGCTAGGTGGCGCCAGAGATCTCTCCTAGAGCCCTTGGGGAGCTGTTTTTTTTTTTTTTTCACCGTGTGGGACAGGAAACAGAGTGGGATTGGTAGGGTAAACCTCAACGGCTTTGGGGTGCTGTGTCTGCCTTGTGCCCCACCGTCGTGGAGAACCCACGCCCCGAATTTTGTGCCCCAGATCTCAGTTCCAAAGCCCTCAGGTCCAGAACGCGGGCTGTAGCCCAGTTCAGTGTCCACAGAATGGCGTCTTTATTGCACCCTGCTCCCGTGCCTGGGTGCCTGGTTCCTGGATACTCAGTGAGGGACTTTCACCTCAGTGAGGGTCTTCGCGCGCGTCTCCCTGCAAGCCTAGGTCGCAGGCGCGGGGACCTGGGCAGCCGCGATCCCAATCCGCGTTTGCTTTTCAACCGTGCTGCTTTTCCGTGCTATCCCGATCCCGATCCTCGTTTGCTTTTCCAGCGCTCCGCTTTTCCGCGCCAGCTTACCGGGCGGCCCGGGGCTGTGTGCTGGCCCTGGCCTCCTCCTGGGGGGCGGGGTCTCTCTTTAATGGCGCCTGGAGCTCACCTCCGCGCGAATCCTGCAGGGTTCTCCGCAGCTCCCGTTCACGGGGTGTGGTGGCTGCAATAGTTCCTTTCCACTCACAGTCCCGCTTGCTGCGTAGTTTGTTCTTGTTGGTCATTTTAGTTTGTTGTTTTCCTCCTCTCTGCTGGTCGGAGAGTGCAGACTCTGTGGGTGGGGGAGGGGAGCAGGGTTCTGCGCTTTCCTCCCTTCCAGTCCTCTTTTATGGCCACTTTCTTCTTCGGGTAGTTTGCTGGAGTCACCCGTTTATCTTCCGTGTCCCAGTTCTCACTGGGACATGCCGCTTTTCCTCCCTATTAACTTTTTTTAATGGGAGATCTTACTCGCAGCGTCTCCTCGCCGCCATGTTGCTCCGCCCTCCTGATATTTTATGTGTTTATGTGTGGATTTTTTTTTATGGTGATAAGGTCTTCTTAGGCTTTATCAGATTAACAAAAGGTATGTCACTACTGATACAAATATATGTAAAGACAATTTCATTGCAAATATTCTCTCAACTTCAGTTTCTCTTCCATTTTCTATTGTGATCACTTCCCCCTTTGTTGTCCTTCACGTACTCCCACTTCTCTAAGATCAAATCCAAGAGCTCCTCATAGATAAGGAAGTCACCTATACTATATTTTCATCTACATCATAATAAAATTAATAACTACATATTTTTCAATGTTTTTATTTTCCCTCCATTTATGTTAATTGAGGTAAGGTTGGTTTATATCATTGTGTTTGTTTCAGTGGTCATAGGTTCGGACCTGTACAAATGCATGCCCAACGCCAAAGCATTAGTAATCCTCCACCATGCTACACTGGGGCTCCTCCCCAACCCCCCACTTTCTGGTTGCTTCAGTTATGCAATGAGATGTCAAGTGTATGTTATTACAGCCATGTGTTTAAAAGCTATTCCTTGTTAACTGTATTGGGAGCTTTAAATATTTTATCTTGAATTCAAAGTAAATGTTCTAGGCTAGCTATTCTTATCCCATATTTCATATGTAAATGCTGAGACTGAGTTAGGAAAAATAGTTTATTGGAAGTCTCACAAAGTCAGAGGATTAAACTTAAATTCATGGACATTCTAAACACATACCCTACCAGTACCATGTACCTGTTATCTTTATAGGTGCATGGTTAGTTTAATCAGGGATTGAGGTTCTGATTGAGATAACTTAGCTGTAGTTACTGAGTGGGAGCCAGAGGTTTAATCAGGGGAATGTAAGTGCTGAAAATCCACCTCCTTCTTAGTTACCCTGAGAGAATTGCTCACTTTAATAAACTCAGGCTCAAGACTTCTGACTTTGTGAGATCATGAAACTGATCCTTCTGGATTGAGCTCAGGGTCCCATAGACTCATAGAGCTGGATTCACATTTCTCTGGATAGACCTTTTGTCAGATGAAGGGAAACTAGAGCCTTCCAGAGTATCTCTGGAACCTGCTGTTACTCTAAAGATGATTTTCCTACCTGTTATAGAGGAGTGATTCTCTGTAATGATTATTATCATCAAACAATTCATAATAATGAACTTGAGGAATTATGTAAGGTAATTCAATGCCCATTGAACATGTGATTTGAGAACAATGACTGATAACTTTTGAGTCCTACCTCGGTACTAAGGTGAATTAGGTGTTGCCATCAGCATCACTTCCCTGTATAGATGGGGAAACTAAGGTAAAGGGATATTAAGAAACTTGCCTGAGGAGCCTCCCTGGTGGTGCAAGGGGATAAGTCACAGCACATGAAGCTATCCGCAGCCACTGCAGCACGAGTTCAATCCCCAGCCAGGGAGCTGACCCACATGGCACAGCAGACCCTCCTGTCTTGACTGCGGCTCCTCTCAGCAGTGTATTTCAGTCAATTTGCCTGTTATGCTCCCTACTTTGTCTCTGGTGAATCCTCTCACCCCTCCCCTCCCCGCCTCACACCTATACCCAAGTTCTTGGATGCATAAATAAAATAAATCTAAAAAAAAAAAAAAAAAAGAAAAGGAACTTAACTTACCCGAGAATTCACAACTGGTAAGGACTGGAGTTGGATCTGAGTCTGTGGTCTAACCTTTGGGTTCACAGCCTCTTAATGTCTCCTGGGAAAGAATTCACCTATGACATCCTAAGGGGTCTCCATTTAGCATAAAATTAGGTATGGTGCCAAGATGGGTCAAATTCAGGCTATTTGGTCATGAAAGATACTGTAACTTATAATCAGTTCTGTGGGGCACTACTTTTTCTTGAAATAGGCTGAGAATCAACATCATAGCAGAAATATATCCAGTGAAGAATGTAGATTTGCTGTTGCCTTTTTGGGTCTTTCACACAGAGCAATGCCTGCTGACAGATTTTTAATGTTTGTTTAGTGAAAAAAAAATCTAGTTCAGTGTAAGTGAGCATCCATAAGCAAAAACACCAAGAGAAAAAAAAGACTGCATTTTTATTAACTGGGAAAGAAGGCTACAAAGGTTTTGATTTTTCAAAGCTTCCACTTCTCATAGAATTTCCAACTCTGCTTCCAAATCAGAAGAGAAAAAAAACAAGCCAGAAGGGATAACTAATTCAAAAAAAAAAAAAGAGGACAAAGCACCATGTTTTCAGGACTTCAGATAAAATTTTGTTTGAGGGAAACTTTCATAGAGAAATAGGGAGAAAAATCTCCTTTTTAGAACAAAGCAAGAAGTAGTTTAAAGTGCATTTTCAAGGAACTATCAAATTAGTCAACTATAGGGCATTTACTTTTATATGAGGTATATATTTTTCACAAACTAAGGTTCTCAATGCTGTTTAGTCCAATCCTTTATTATTTTTCTAAATTGTTCAGATGCAAAGAGTCTTACTGATTTGATGATGTTTTGTCACTCAACCAGAAACACTATCCTTTAGCTAAAGAAGAGGTTTTTTTTAGAGTAATGGGTTATACTTGTGAAAATAGGTATTTTACTTTCTCAAGAACTCATTTTCCTCCCTTAGTGTGATAAACCCATTTTGTTACTCTCAATCCCCAGATAAAATGATGACATTTTGCTCTATAGAAGGAGTATAGATGCTGATTGCCCATTATCACCAGTGTGCATTGTCTGTTTTTTCCTGAAGAGTTCTTAGGTTTGTCTCCATTTGCCTTTTGTTCTTTTACTTTGTCACCTGTGGTTGACTGCAATAAAAACAATCTGGTATCTTTTAAGAGATTATATAGCTGTCTTCTACCTGGTGGTCAAATGCAAAAGTGGCCTCAAATGACAGTACTCTGTCACTCTGTGGTGCCAAGAGAAGTGCTTTGGAATTGGAGTGCACAAGATATGGACTGACCAAGTTGTATACTCACAAGAGAGTGAGATGGAGTGAAGAGGTTCTGTGTTTTAAACTAATGTTTGGCTTGATTTTTACAATAATTACATTTTCTAGTGATTTAAAAAAATTATATTTTGTGGATGAAGAGTAGATTAGATGGTATAAGTAAAGTATTAAATTCAGATACTTTTACAGCCTTAGTATTCTGTGTTGTTGAAATCTGAAAAATCTTTTCTTAGTTAGGCAGATTTGTAAAGTCACCGGCTTTTGTGAAACCAATGTCACCTAGCCCTATAGCACATATATTAGGCTGTGGAGGTGGAGTTTCTTGGTGGGAGACAGGAGTTTCTAGGGGAGACAGGAGAGATGGTTTTTGTTCTGTTCTGAAGCAGTGCATAGAGATTTGCAGTGCTGGATGTCAGATTCCAGGGAAGGAATTCCAACCCTTGGAAAAGCTAACCCTTGGTAAGCTTAAGCGTCATAATTAAAAAAAACACTGGTCACTTTCTGATTTATCAAGAATCATGAAAGACTATAATAGTCTTGGCTCCCACCCTGATCTTTTAGCTTAGCATTGATGTTTATGGAAGTTACAGATAGTTCCCTGATGTAATATGGGATTTGGGGCTTAAGCCTTACAGTTTTGTTTTTATGACATAGTGAACTATTAGCATGATTAATTACCTTATCTTTCAAGTATGAAGAAGTGGGATTGTTGTATTCAACTGCTGTGATCAGAGGACTGTGCAGCCAGCCCTGAAGTTGACCAGGACAGATTTCCATAGGACTGATGCTCATGGTTGAATTCCAAGATTTATAAGAGGGTAGCATATATTTTGGGAGGCCAACCTGCAGGAGATTAGTTTTCCATGAAGTTCTCATAGACTTCAAAGATAGAGAGGGAAGTGACAAGATCAAGTTATCTAAAGGGAGTAAAATATTAAGGTGATTTTAGAATTCTACTATAGACATTAAAAGTTGGGATCAGTGAAACTCCTCCCTCCTCCCAACTCCCACCATTTGCAAAAATCCTGCGATAAATTTTAAACATTCACAGAGAATAGATTTGGAGAAGATACAAACTAAGATTGTTTTTACACATATCGTCTTCTTCTCAGTGACATACTTCTTTCTGTCTGTCTTTTCTGTCTCCCCTAGTTTATTATTTGCCATGATTAGGTCTGCTTCTTCTTAGTGTTCTTCCTGTTTTATCTCTGCTTCTTACACTCTCTATATTTACTGCTCATTTCAAGCTGGTTATACAAAGTAATGAAATGAAGTCTCTTTACTTGTAAAACTGAGGGGATGTTTTACTTTCAGATTATGCTTCTATGCTGCCATTGAGATTGTTTTGGTAAATGAATTTGGTATTGAAATTTTGGAGCCTCTGAGGTATGCCTTGTCACCATTGTCCCCACTGTTCTTTGTTTTCTAGATAAGAATTTTTATATTCTGTTAGGTAATCCTAACTCATTAGATTTTAAAAAATTATCTTCTTACTTTGTTTTTCATTATTCTTTACAACAATTGGGGTGAGCTGCCTGTTAGAGAGAAAACAAATGACTTGGATTGTTGTGGATAATTAATGAGACAACCAATGAACATAAGCAACGACCACAATTTCCCTTTGTGGAAGGTGAATAATGGTGAGTAGTGCAAGCCCCATAGTGGTCATAGCTGCTTAGATCAGCAAGAAAATGCCATACTCCAAGCACCAGGATTCACTGAACTATCCAAACTAAGTCTGTCCAATCATAAGATCCCTGGTCATTTAAACTTCTAAATCCTATTAAAAGAAATTGCTTGATTGCATTTGAGTCATTTCACTTTGATGTTTGCTGAAATATAGTGGTTAAAGAGTGACAGATTTGCATGTGTATGTGTGTTATTATCCCTCACAATTCCTGTGCTTTGAACCCAACAGAATGTGATAATATTGATAATGTGAAATCTTAGACTAAGCTCACTCTAAGGAAGTACATTTCCCTCTTTCCCTCTGATGCCCTTTAGGCAAATGACAGTGGGGATATCTCATGCATGTTAAAAGCAGATATCTGCCAGGAGAATTAGTGAGCCTATCCTAAGCTTATTTCCTAGTCAGTTATGAATGTAATATGAAAGACATCTCTGCACAAACATACTTCGGTGCAGAAGTCCAGGCAAGGATTGACCTGAACGGACTGGAAGAAGGCCCATGTCATTGAATTATTAAAATCTCTGATTTAGCTAAATTATCTTACATCTAATAATTAGTTTCAAATAAAACATCAGCAGTACTCAATGAAAATGTCCTTCCTAAGATTTCCCAGTGCTCTAAACATTCTTCACCAGAAAGTGAATATGACAGATGGCAGACATGAAGCTAGCCATGGTTGCCTCTAAGCTTTACAGAATGTTTGATTTTTAATAGAAATAGGCACAAATAATGTTAAGATATTTTCTTTGATTTAAAAATGTGATGGGGTTCTTTAGTTCTTTTATTCACTCAAAAATATTCGTAGCATTCATTCTGCATATCAGGTCTGTGCTAAACACTAAGCAGCTGGGACTTCGTGATGTTTGATCATTCTTATTACAGATCTTCGGTAATACAATTTCACATTCCATTGAGACCCTGGGACACAGAATGAATGAGTGAAGTTTTATAAGGGAGGGAGGATGGTTAAAAATGCTTTCATATTTTGTCTCCTTAGGGTAGGCAGTTTTCTAGCAGTAGCACACATTATTGCAAAAAGGTGAAGCTGAAGATCTGAATTTAATTTAAACAAAGTGTAATGGAAGTTAATGGAGCCAGTTTGAGATGCAGAAATCTATGTTATATAGGAATTAACCTGCCTTGGTAAGCACTTGGACATTGGATTTTCTAGTTACCAAAGGATAGACACAAGAACTAAGGCAAGTTAAGCAGAGGGAAATGACATTGATTGGGCACCTTTTGTTAGTATTTCATATTATTTAATTTATCCAAGAAACATACCCAGTGTGGGATATCATTAGATTAGTCATCTGTCAAAGAGTATAATCATATTTATCTCTTAAGAATTATAACAGTTTCTGAGGATTAATATGTACATTAAAGAAGATTTGGCATGAAAAATATTTAGAGCAATTCCTGTACAAAGTAAGAATTCATTGTAGGAAATAAATTATTATATGAAACAACATGTTTGGGAGGGGGGTAGTAGTAGGAAGATGAGAGTGAAGAAAGACAAGACATAGTTGCATTGTGGGACTAGAAAAATAATTAGGGCAAGAATTTTGACTGCTCTAGCTTTCTTCTGAGGACCATCCCTAAGAAGTAAAGTAGAAAGGGCAAAAACTTGTGTAAGACTTTCCTGTTTTTATTTGTTGTCCTTTTTCAAGCCAAGTCTTAAGGTCCTGAAATTGCCCTCCCTCTATCCAATTATCCTCTGTTCATGTTTTTAGGGCTATATTCCTAACCCCCAAAATAATCTTAATTCCTGTTTCCTTTGTTTTTTGTTAATTTGAGACATGGATTTATAATTTACTCCATCAATGGATATTATTGTGTATTCTTTTTCAAGGGATACATTTATATTTTATGAGATGATTTATGGAGACCCAAGACATGACCCAATAAATTAGTGTTTTGACTTCTATGATAGGATGGTTTTAGAGATAAGTAATAACTTTGGTAACAATTCCTAGTGCCTTTCAGATCACAACCTAATCTGACATCCCCACCTGCCAATATCTTTATATATTTTTTCCCACTGTCATGTACTTGACACTTTATTGCTTTCCACTCCCATTTTGTATCTGTCTCTTTTCCTGCTTTCATCTCTAACTTTTAGCTTATTTCTACTAGAGTTAACTTACTTGTCTAAGACAAGTAATCCTTAATATCACTGCCATTTCTTATGGATTTTTTAAATATACTAAACTTTTTGAATTATATTAAATTAGATGCTGAGTGATATAAATACCCAAATGCTCCAGCATGGAGTGTATTTACAATATATTACAGATCATCTTGCCTCTTTTCATTTTTTAAAATTTTTAAAATATAATTTGTTTAACTTTGTAGTTCTTTAATAAGGTGAATCAAGTTAAAATTTCTTTTATTTTTTCCTTACTACCATTCATTATATCTTTTTGGCACTTTCTCCCCCTTCTCTTCATCTTAACCTGAGAAACTTCACTTTGTTTATTAACATCTGCTACTGTTTACAAGTAGCATTTTTTTCAGATTGTTCACTGCTATGTAAATGTTGTATTTGTTTTTGTCCCTCTGACTTATACTACATATAATTCCCTTGAACTCCTTCCATTTTGCTGTAAATGGCAGTATTTCATCTTTTCCTATGACTGAATAGTATTCCATAGTATAGTTACAGCACATGTTCTTGATGCAGTCCTCTGTCAGTGGGCATTAGGTTGTTTTTATGTCCTATCTATTATAAATATTATCTCTACCCAGGTGAAATTTCAAATGTACCTTAAAGGCAGTCTGACTAATTTCTGAGGAAGTACATTTGAGATGTTTGGAAGGGGAAAACTGGAAAAATCCCACTCCTTAACATTCATTCATTCATTTCTTCATATTTTGAAGGCTCTTCATTTTTCATATATTGTGCTTTCTCCCATTATTCAATAGCCTTCTTATGGAAGGAACGGAATTAGCCAACCATCACTGCTTCAGGGGGAATGGATTTATAATACATTGTATTTTGGTGAACCTTTATAACTGGATGAATTATTTCTCTCCCTAAAGGCTCTCTTTATTAAATGGCCACTAGACACATCCATAATGCTAATACATTTTTGAATTAGTCCTTTTCGATGAATGCCTTCCCTATGGCTCAGGGCTTCAGATCTATCTCCCAGTGTTGCACTAAAGGAGAAAGTCTGGGTAAGTTTTTACATTAGAGTACTCAAGTCATAGTCCTAGCTGTGGCTTAGGGAATTGCCTAGAGAAACTGAAAACATGTACATCATTGAACATTTTCTGTTTCATGGGGCCTCAAAATTATTGACTTACTTTGTGAAGAGAAGTATTGGTCTGGCCTAAAATATGCTTATTTATTGGCTTATTTGAAAAAAATAGAAAGTGGTTTTATTCTTTTCTACATCTTTTGTTCCTGCCCACTGTACAGCTGTTTAAAAGCTGCATTTTTTGTCTACTCTCTCCAGAATTAAAATTGAAAATATCATTTCTGTTTTTATCCATAAGATGTGTGACAACTAAAATTACATCCTTGCATCCATTAGAAGATTTTTGACTAACCCATTAGGAATTTATAAATAAGGTGTTAACTTTTATCAAATGTACTTTCTATGAAAGCAAAACTTCTTCTTATACTTAAAACGATAGAAAGCTACCTACCTAGTAAGAATATCCTCTAAGACTAAATTTATGCAATCTAGAAGGTCTTTTCTGAAACCTACAGAGGAACAAGCACTCCAGAAAATGCTTACTGGGAAATGCTTTGCTTCATTCTGAGATTTTCCAATTTTTTATACATATCTAGCCTAGGAGATTCCTATTTTCCATAGATTTGGTCTAGTTACAATCAGCTTTTATAAAGAATTTTTTTTTTGTATTACAGTGCAATTTTCCTGATGGCTGTAATGAAATCTACAAAATAAGGGCACTATTCATAAATTCTTGATATTTTGCATAGTTAGGTGAATTTTCTTCTCCTTACATTCACTGAAAAGTCTTTTCTTAGACAATTTTCAAGTTTAGATTTTGTTATTGCTCCCTTAAGAGAGACCTAGCTCAACTTCTTCATTCTCCTGTGACTGCCTGTATAATTGAGTAAAATTGCACTTCT